CATTCCAAAGTTTTGGAGCTGCAACAGAAAACGCTCGATCCCCTCTGAGCTTAAGCCTTGCTTTAGGCACCGTCAGGAGCAGCTGATCAGCATTAAAAGAGCATTAAAAAGCATTAAATTAGAGTTATTCATTTCTGTATAAACACTGTATTAGATTGCAGTGCTGCATTTGATACACTTCATAATATTCTTTTAGAAAGACTTGAATATTTTGTAGGAATTAAATGTGTTATTTTTGATCAGGACCTGTGATTTCCATAACAGCACAGAGGAGCGGGTATTCAAAGCAGACAGTCAGATATTTCAAAAAGTGTTTATTTGTAAGTAAACAGCCAGGGCGTCTAAGGCAGGAACCTCTGGTCTTATAGTTCAGTCAGTGCCCAGAGAACAAGTTGGGTTCCAGCCGGCCAGCTGCCAACGAGATGCGGTGGACGCTGCCCAGGTAGTGCCAGACGCTGAAGTCCCAGAGGACAAAGAACAAGCAGGAGATCAGATCCTGCTGATTTCGAAGGAGTACGAAGATCAGAACCATGTGTAATAGCTGCTCTCTGCATTTTTACAGTGTGTAACAGCTGTTATCCATGTGTTATAGCTGTTCTATGAGTATAACAGTCGTTCTTCATGTGTAACAGCTGTTCTCCGTGTGTTAACAGTTTTTCTCCATGTGTTATAGCTGTTCTATGAGTGTAATAGCTGTTCTCCGTGTGTAACAGCTGTTCTATGAGTGTAACAGTCGTCCTCCGTGTGTTAACAATTTTCTTCATGTGTTAACAGTTTTTCTCCATGTGTAACAGCCGTTTTACAAGTGTAGCAGCTGTTCTCCGTGTGTAACAACTGTTCTCTGTGTGTTAACAGCAGTGCTACAAGTGTAACACCTGTTCTCTGTGTTAACAGCTGTTCTCGGTGCTCTTTGACTGAATTTGGGGTATTTTGCAGAGAAGGATGGACATAAACCTTTCTGCCTCTAAGTGTCACTGCAGCTGGAATTGAAGGAAAGAAGAGGTTCAGGAAAGTGTAGTCTCAGAGACTCAATATAAACCTTCTACACCTTCTAGATTTTTATATCTATAAGCAACATTTTTGCTCTTTCTATTCTACGCTGTCTTTTATCGCATAAAATCCCAAAAAATATGTAACTTTTTTTTTCTTTTGCCTCTGGGTTGCATTTCTTTGGTGCATTTTTTGAGCCATATACAAATTTCTAAAGAAATAATAGAATTGATGGTAATAGATTTCCAGTGCTCTATGTGGATGAATCCAAAGGGAAGCTTAGTTGTGAGTTGGCAGGCTCTCACCATGTGTTACAGTGGGCACAGGACCCAGCTAGTTGAAAAATGGGGGTGAGTGGACGCGTACCAGTGCCCAGCCATTATGCCGTAATCCTTCCATGCTTTTCTGGAAAAACTGAATAGCACTAGAATCACTGACTCAATTTTTGGATCTCATTTTCATGACAAAGCGATTGTTCCCCTTTTACTAGCGCCGTTGCTGTTTCTAAATCTGGGGGAGCATGGGATATAAAAGGCAGCAACTGAACGGCTGGTCAACACCGAGACCTCAGGGAATCCACCAGCATCACCGATCAGCATCACCAAGGCGGTCCCAAACGCTGTAGCCAAGATGGGCAGGGTGAGTTTGCACGAGGATCCCTCTCTGCAGGGAACTGCTGTACCGGAGGGTGTGGGGGTTATTCCAGTAATAGTAAAGTCATTACTATATAAAGGCATTAATAACTTTCCAAGCTCTCTAAGATCAGCCATACCTTGGAGACCCCTCAATAGCTAAAATCTTTTCCTCAGATCATCTTTTACGAGGACAAGAACTTTCAGGGTCGTCGTTATGAGTGTGACAGTGACTGCACTGATTTCCACTCCTATCTGAGCCGCTGCAACTCCATCCGAGTGGAGAGCGGGGCGTGGGTGGTGTACGAGAGGCCCAACTTCATGGGCTACCAGTACGTCCTGACCAGAGGGGAGTACCCAGAGTACCAGCGCTGGATGGGACTCAACGACCGCCTCTGCTCCTGCAAGATAATCCACTTTGTGAGTCAACCCTTCCACAGCCCGTTCTAACTGGGTTTTTTTGGACTGCAGCTTCAGTAAATTATTGGAGATCATGGCTGGTTATTTATGCAACCAGTGCCTGTAGGGCTCAGTCAATAATCAGTAGAGGATATGGTCTGTGTGACCCTCAGCCTGCAGAGTTCGTCTAAAAACCAAAGCTCTGAGCTCAAGCTGCTTGTGCACAGTGGTGTGAAAATGTTGTAACCTTTCTCTTTTTTTAGCACCACTCCTACAGATTCATTACAGTCACCTTTTCCCTTCTAACGCTGGTTGCATGTCTCTCTATCCCCTCCCCTGTTTGCTTGCAGACCAGCGGGACCCCATACAAGATGCAGCTCTATGAGAAGTCCGACTTTGGCGGCCAGACCGTGGAAGCCACAGACGACTGTCCCTCACTCCTGGAGAAGTTTCGCCTGAGAGAGGTGAACTCCTGCAAGGTCTATGACGGCTGGTGGGTTTTCTACGAGCGTCCCAACTACACCGGGCGCCAATACCTCTTGGAGAAGGGCGAGTATCGCAAGCCTGGTGACTGGGGCGCCGTCAGTCCTACAGTGCAATCCTTCAGGCGCTTCAAGGAATGATTGAAACTGGACCCAACTAACTTAAATGATCTGAAGAAACATTAAAAGCTGGAATTGGGGAATTGTCTTCTTCCAACAAACTGTGATCTTGTATTGAGGTCTCAAAAATAAAAGCGTCAGTAGAAAAAGTCATTGAGTTTTCATTGCCTTCAAATCAGTGTTAATTTCGTCAACTATGACGATGACGAAGAAAATATTTCATCAACGCCCCTTTTTCCCGTGACAGTGACGCACAAAAATTGTTTCCAGAAAATAAAAATATGACGAACATAAAAACTTATTTTCGTCAACAAGACTAAGGCAGACGAAATTTACGATCCATTGACGAATGGACATTAAGAATTGTAATTTTTTATTATTAATTTTTAATTGTTAATATAAGTGTTTCTTGAGCTTCATAGAAGATTACGCGTTGTTGCCCTTTTTGTCCTTACACAGAACCTGTCCCACAGTCCCTCGCGCCGCTCAGTCAGTAGCAGCACAGGGTTTATACTCATAGCTCAACTTTGCAGTCATTGCGGATACCGGTGTGCGGTTACGCCTGGATGTATGGTGCCATTTCGTTTAAAACGCAAAGGAAAACACCGGAAGAAGGACGCCACTAAAGAATCTGCAGCTTCAACATGGCAGAGAAGAACACAACGAATCTCAAGCAACATCTGAGGTTCCAGCATGCTGCCGTATGGAAGAAGGTAAGGAACCAACTAGATTCCTGACACAGTGATGCCACAGCCAAATCAGAGGTTGGGGAAGGAAGGGAAGTCTGTTGCAGAGATGTTGGGATCCCCCCCACCGTACAAACCTGACGCCAAAGAGCAGAATGCCCTGGAGAACTCAATGGCAAAGTGGATTGTGCGTTCTGGCCTGCCTGCAAGAACCATTGAGGATGAAGACTTTGTGGATATGATGAAACAAGCCGACAAAAGGTTCAATGTGTGCAGTGTGATATATGCTAAAAAAAGGGAATCAGTGTGTATGAAGTTCTATTCTGCACAGTGTTATATAAATAAAATAGAGAAAAAGAGAAGCAGTGTGCGAAGAATTTTTATTCTGTATAGTATGATATAGGCCTATATGTTTAAAAAAAAGCAGTGTGTGGAGAAGTTCTATTATTTACAGTGTTGACTAAAATGACTAAAATTTGACTAAGACTAAAATTGATTTTGCTCATTTAGACTAAGACTAACTCTAAATCGGGAAGGCAATGACTATATATGACTAAGACTAAAATAGATTTTTGTCATTGTGACTAAGACTAAATTAAAAAAAAAACTGACGAAATTAACACTGCTTCAAATGAAATTTGAAGTTTTAAATACCTGAGGCTTAAAAATCAACCAGTTTTGCTCCTGCTGATGATATTTTTCATGTGGAGCGGCTAGCACAAATGCTGGGCTAATGCTAACATAAGCTAATTTTTCATGTCGTTTGTTGATAATCTTCCCCCAAAAAAATTTCAAGTGGTTCCAGTTCATCATTTGCAGGCAAAAGTTTTTAGGAAGGTTGATCGTCTGCTTCATAAATTAGCATGAACCTTGTTCAGAATTAGCTACGGGTTCTAGAAGCTTAAAGGTTCAACCTTCAGCTATTTAAAGTCGCAGGGAATTCATATTTAAATGTCAAATCATTGGCTTAAACATGTACGTATATTATTGTGCCATGTGCCATGATCATGGTTTTTGGACATTGGGAATCAGTGTCCATATTTGATCTTGAATGAACAGCTCTAAGATCTCTCCAACCCCACCCCTTTTTAGCCAAGGCCTCCCACAGAGGTGTGACTTGCCAGCCCCCTCTCTGTGAGAACAGGACAAAACCACAGAGAAAAACAGATTTTTTCTCTTTTCCCATGAAACTGGGGTTCCTCTCCAGCAAGATGGAGAAGGCCAGGGCGACCCAGGTCTCCAGAATCCTCAAGGATAAGTCAGAACCAAACTGCTGCAAAAACAGACCTTTTGCAACACATTTCTCTTGAGTTTCAGAACTTATAGAGCCAGACTGGAGAGAAGGACTGCCTCGATGAACCACTGAGACAAAGAGGACCCCTGCTGTGAGATTGAGACAAAGTAAACCCTGGTTGCTGTGGCCTGACTACTGAGCTGCAGCTGGATGAAACTCAAGCTTTCCAACTGGACATGGACAAAAAGGTTTGCAGGTCTGGCAGGATTAGGGACTGAACAAACATGTCTTTTGATGATGAGTAGAGACAAGCTAACAGAATAGACTGCATGCTACACTATGCTACAGGAATATGTGTTGAGCTGTTGCTGAAGCTTGGACAATCTTTATTCACTAAGGGTTTAAACACTGATATAACATTAGTGTTCATGTGTTCCTCAGATGCTCATTACATTTCCATTAGCAAGTCTGACCAAGAGTCATTTAGTGGAATCCTGATGTCTATTCACTTTACCCTCTATTTCAAAGAGGGTAAAGGTTCTTGATTAAGCAAATCATTCAATAAAACATTATTTGGCCAAATAATGTTTAATTCACCTCATGGATTTGCATTGTGAATTGGTTTGAAAACATTCCAATTTCTTAAAATTAGTGAAAAGCTAATTCGATCAGATCCCAAATTTTTCCAGATAAACTTTGGTTTCAAACACAGAATCCATCTTAAACTGTAATATGTTTTTCAACCATGTTCCCCTTCCTCTTTGTACATAGTAGTTAGTTTAGTTTAGTTTTACTAGTCTTAGTTAAGAGTGTTAAACTGAAATATGTTTGACTTGGAGCTGAATGATTTTTGTTAATAAAATCTTATATTTTGAACAGAAGTTGTGGCGAATTTATTCCATTTATGTGCAGAATTAACTGTTTGACCATGATTAGAGCTCGAATCAGTCTTTCATTTATTGTTCTAACACACAGTTAGTAGGACTGTGTGTTCATGAACAATATATAACGGCCGAAATAATATCTGATTAAATAAGATATGTTCAACCCCTACCGGGGAGGGCAATAAACATCTTAAAGTATCAGAAACATAAATTCCCAGCTGG